CCCTCCACTTACGTTTCCTAAATTACCATCCTTTGGGTACCATTTTCTAAAACGAAAAGCACTTCAATAGCAATAGATGCTCACCGTATGGCACACAGCATCCCAAGGTGAGTTCTCACTGTATCACGAGAGGTGAACAACAGTAAATGTCTCTACCCCCTTAATCATTCCCATGTCTTTGATGGTCCCAGGAAAATATGCAAACAACTAAAAGAAGTTTCTAGGTGCCAGGCGGTGGTGGTGCACACCTTTAATCCCAGCCAGCACTCAGGAGGCAGACACAGGTGGATCTCTGTGAGTTAAAGGTCAGCCTGGTCTACAACAGCTAGCTCCAGGCGAGGTTCCAAGGCTACAGAGAAACCCTGTCTTTAGGAAACCACACACACACACACACAGACACACACACACACACAAACATTACAAAAATAAAAATAAATAAACAAACAAACATAAAAGAAGTTTGTAGGCTTGCCAGTCCAGTTTGTTTTCTGGCCTCAAGATAATTTGTCTTTTCTCACATGTAGCACAAAACAAAGACCCATTTGGCAGAGAATGCTACCATAGAAACCAGACAGTCCCTTGGGGTGTTGTATTTCCTCACATATTGGGATGGCATGGGAGGAGACAGACAATATTTTGACTCACTTTGGCTTCTCACTTGTGGTGTTTAATTAAAATAGTTTTTCTTGGGAGTTCAACTTCCTGTGGACCTCTCCAATGGCCGGAAGTGAAAGCTAAGAAGAGCTCATGTCTTATGGCGTGTTTAGAAGACTCACAGCCGGGAGATCAACAGAAGAACACCAAGCTCCCTAGCAACTCACAATGTTCATTTGTGATTAATTAAGACTTTTTCAGTTGAACAAATAATCTCAAGAACTTAAATGTTAGACAGGATTGATGATAATTTTGAAAGGGTCCTGAAGTTTCTAATCTCAAAAGGCTTGACACCCTGGAGGAAGGCATACACACATAAAAAGTTAACTAGCTGAAGATTTGGCCTATGATATAAAAAGGTGACTATCAGAAGTGTCATATATGCTTGTGTGTCAACAGGGGGACATGGTAGATTTACAAAAGACATCTCTATTACAAGGCTGTCGGGGAAGGGCTCTTAGGAGAAGCAAAAGAAGGACCTGGCTGGGACCTGAAGAAATGAGGGAAGGAAAGGACTCACACTCCAATTAGTACAAGAAGCCTGACGGAAGTCATGTGGAGGCACATGGCCCCAGTAAGAGAGAAAATGAGGAGAGGGTCCACAAAAGCCAGGGCAATGGCTGGACTGCCTGAGTCTCAAGTCTCAGACCTCTTCTTTAGGATGGAAGAAACATGGAAAGTCAGATGAAAGTTTCTTCCATGGCCAAGTTCCGGAACATGCAGTGGAATCAAATGAGCATTTCACTTGGGACCAAGAGATGATTGGGGGGTGGGTGGGGTGTGCTTCCACGAACAAATCTTCGACACACAGAAAGTCTGCTTATCACAGAAGAGCAAGAAGCAAGCCACAGATTCAGGGAAGGGATAGCAGAAAGATAGTTGTTTGGGAAAACATTCCCTAGCAAGAGCAAGAATGACTGACTACATGAGACAGGATCTCTTGTGCGAAGAGCAAACAAGTAGGGATGGGTACTCGGTACGAGACACGGTGTCCAGCCCTCCTCATCCATCACTGGCAAAGGCAGCATCCTAAGTCACTTTATAGCCAAGCTCCTGCCAACTTCAGCAGCCTGGGCTGAAAGCAGAAAACTTGTCTTGTGGCTGGAGGTGGAAAACCAAGATTGGTGGGAAGGACATCAGTCAAGAGGCCAAGACCGCTGGACCTAAACCAGCTGTCAATGATCATCATTGACATTCACACTCTCCCACATAATAAATCCCGGGGACACTGAGGCCTGATGCCCCACTACAGTGCATTACGATACAATAAGCTGGAGGTGGTGGGGAAAAGTCCCTTACATGAAAAGGGCACATGAGCCATGCTGCTTGGAGGGTTGTGTCTGTGGTCCATCCTGAGCGCTAGGAAGCCAGCCTGGGGCTGAACTGCCCAGAAGGTCACTCACAGGACCATTAAACATCTTTACCAGTATGCAGCTTGCCCTGACACTATCCTCCATTAGAACCTTTGACAATTGTGAGGCTTTCGCTGCAAAGGCCACCATCCAACGCACTGACGCCAGCATTTGATGGGCCAGGAGAATTCGGCGGTCGCCGGGCTCAACTATTCCTCTGGGTGTCCTTGTTCAAGCAGCAGTTAATTGGAAAACCATTAGCAGGCTGCTCACTTCCTTGAGGCATAGCAAGGCTGGACCAGCGACTGGGCCCCGTGCTTGGAAGGAGCCAGGCTGTTTCTGGAATGGATCTGGTGTCAGGGACTGCTTAGTGCTTTGCTGTCAGGCCAGCATGAATCAGCCACTCACTCTCTGTTCCTGCAGACTTGTCTCTGCTTAGTTCTGCCTCTGCGACAGGGAGACACTTTAACTTTAACTGACATGAATGAAACCATTCATTGTTTTGTTCTTCATACTCGCATTTACAGGAGAATCAAATTAATGATTATAGCACAATTTAGACAGGAGATCAACAAAGGGTACAGGGATTAAAGACAGGTATATTTTTATATGAAAGCTCTTAGTTTTGAATTTAAGCTAGCAGACTTCTTTTGAGTACCCAGTAAACAGGTCTTTGGGACTGTCATTTCTTTGTGATAAAGAGTTTTGTTTTTGTTTTCTTTCCCTTTTTTATCATTTATATTCTGCCTCACACTCCCTCTTGCAGAGGGCGAAGTGCAAAGAACTTTAGAAAACGCTTCTTTCTGACCTTTGCCCCTCTTCTCTGAACACGCACTTGACTTCTACAAGGTGCCACACACAGGGTTAAAAATCTAATGCAATTGATGTTCCCAGCTTACTGCACTTCCCTCTCAGCTAAATCGGGCAAACTCAGTCCCATGTGGTCTACAGAATGCGGCAGGGCCAGAACAAGGGGACAGTCAGTAGCACTCAGTGAGACATGCCCTCTGACCCGTTGGCCCCTCAAATGTGCAAAGGACACAGGTCTCAAAAGAGCCCCTCCAAATACCAGCATTCTTATTTAAACGTACCCCCCACAGCCTATCCCTCCCCCCACTGCAAGATTTTATTTTATTTTATTTTATTTTATTTTATTTTATTTTATTTTATTTTTGGTGCTCAGTCTCTCCTAGGAGAGAATTCATATTCTGGCTCCTTCCCCTTAGCACTGGCAGCATCCCCCACACAGCTCTACTTCATGCAGAGCGTGGATGACATATGCTACCCACAGGAAAGTCAAACTCAGGGAGGGGTCACAAGTTTGCCTCTCAGGCAGGATCGCCAACCAATGGAAATAAGTACTTACTAACTATGTGGCTTCTGCTGTTTTTGAGGTACCTGTCAATTCCCCCACTCTTAGGTAACTAACAAGACAGCAGGGATCCTAGTTGCAGAGAACTTGTGGGTTTGCACACACACACACACACACACACACACACACATACACGCCACATCCCCACCTGGGTGAGCTGCCAGGGGTAAAAGAGTAGAAAAATAAGCCACACCAGCCTGGTGGAGCCACACGGGAGGGAGACTCCAGTGTGCAGGAGCCTAGCAAAAACAGACACTTATAGATTTTAACCAAGAAATTTGATTTCTAATAGGAATTAAAACATTCTATGAGTAGGGACCACATGGAAAACTAGAATTAATGCTAACTAACTTTTTAGAAATACTAGCAAAAAATCTCCTTTGTAAGTGTTTCGTGCATACCCTAGTACTTTTCTTGGAAGCATTATATGACAGAACCAAACCTTCAATTAATTAAAAAGAAAAAGCCAAGAAATGCCAGTTCCATGCCCACCAGTTCCACTGTCTAAATAATCAGCATAAACAACATTATGCTCAGACTTGTACATACCAGCATATATAAATGCACACTTTGGAGTGTGTGGACCTGTTGGTACCTGTTTAAGCTATTTCGAAGCATTCATATTCCATTTAAATATGCTTATATTGCATAAAATATTTCTTGATTGTTGCTCTTTATGATTGGCATAAACCAACTTGTTTTACTTAAGGCTGTTGAGTTTCGATATGAACTGTCTCCACCAGACACTAGTCTAGAAGGTTTGACTGGCAGACGATGGGCTTTGGGCAAATGTCTACACGTTGAGCGCAGTGATTTACCCAATGGATTGACCCCTGTATGGACTGAGATGGTGGTATTATCAGGAGGCAGTAGAGCTGAAGGAAGTAGGTCCCTGACGGGCATACTTTGCAAAGTTATACCTTGACCCCTGACCTTTCTCTTGTCTCTGCTTCTCAAATGCCATGAAGTGAACATCTCTGCTTCTCCACCGCATGCTCCATGCTCCACCATGAAGATCTCCCTCATCACAGGCCCACAGCGATGGGTCCAAGCAACCATCAACTGGAACCTCCAAAACCGTGAGTCAAAAGAAATCATTCTTCCTTCTAAAATGTTTCTTAGATCTGTATCATAGCAGGGAAAGACTCACTAATACAATGTTATATCACACCATGCTGAACAGTTAGTATCCTCTGTATTCCCGCTGGTATACCTTCAGATTTCTTCCAACTCTTGACTATTACATAAAAAAGCCTGTAAAATGTTTTAGTGTGGTTATAACTATATAGCTGGGATAAAGGCAACTAAAGGGCCTTCAAAAGCATTTTCCCAATCTGCATTCCTTCCCACAATGTGGCAGATTAGTATTCTGTGGTGGCACCCAAAGTTTCAGATTTATTTATTTCTATTTTATGTGTACTAGTGTTTTGCCTGAAAGTATGTGTAACCACCAGATAAGTGCAGTGCCTGTGAAGGCCAGAAGAGGGCGTTACATCCATTACAAGGGAAGCTACAGGGGGTTGGGAGTCATCTGGGTGCTGGCGATGGAACCCAGAAACTCCACAGGAGCAGCCGCGGGCTGAGCTATCTTCCAACCCCTCACTAACAGTTTAACTGTCACCAGGTGACAACTGAAAATACCGCCTTTTAAATTTCGATTTTATTTCCATCATTAATAAGGCAATTTGTCAGATACTAGCTTTTCCTTTGAAGTGTATATTCCTAGTCTAATTTTCTTCTGAAGAGCTGATGGATCTTATCAGTTGATACTTTTAAGTTCCCTTTTAAAGAAATCAGCCCGTCATATGTCACAGGTACGACAAAGTGTTTTTCTTAATTTCCATGTGACTACAGCTTCAGTTTGGGTAGGAGCGGGATAGCCTTCTAGACTTAAAGGCATTTTATTTGTGATAATATGCGTTTGTATTCATTGCATGGGTGTTCAGTGCTTGCATGTGGCTATACATGCATAAGGGTGCATACCCATGGACACAAACTGAGATCAAAGGAAGAGATGTGATATTCTGCTCTGTAACGGGCTACCTTATTTCTGTGAGACAGGGCTTCTTAGAGTAACTGGAGCAAGCTGATGGTGACCAGCAGGCTGCAGAGAATCTCCTGTCTCTGCCCTCTACAATGCTGGGACTGTAAGTGTGTGTTCATACCCAGCTTTTTATGTGGATGCAAACCCATGTCCTCATGCTTGTACAAGAGGTGCTCTTACCTACTGAGATGATGTGGGATTCCCCTCTGTACACTGTGAATACGACTGGTTAATACAGAAACTGGCTTGGCCTGATAGGGTAGAACAGAGCTAGGTAGGGAAAACTAAACTGAATGCTGGGAGAAAGAAGGAAGGAGTCAGGGAGATGCCATGGAGTTGTCTCTGGAGACAGATACACTGAAACCTTGCTGGTAGGCCACAAACCTCGTGGTAAAATATAAAATAATGGAAATGGGTTAAATTAAGAAGTAAAATCTAGACAATAAGAAGTTGGAGCTAATAGGCCAAGAAGTAATTTAATAAATATAGTTTCTGTGTGGTTATTTTGGGGCTGAGCACCCAGGAACTAACAAGGGGCCTCTTACAGCACTGAGATGCTCCTTGAGCCCCTGAAAGGTATTTTAAACAATGCATCACTTACTATAAAAATATTAGCTTGATCCCAACCAGGATATGCTCTGACTAGGTATTATGTTTGTCTTAGGCACCAAGGTTGCCAGAACTCAGTAGTAAAATTCCACTAAGTTGTAGACAGTCACTGTACACTCTGGACAGCAGCCCCTCGCTCCCTGACAGTCACTTAGTGCAGTCAGAAGCAAAGTCCTTGTATCTGCAAGTCACTTAAGAGTCACTCAGCCATATCTTCTTTTTATTTATTTTGTTGCTTCCCTACCAAGCATGTAACCAAAGGGCAGATCTAGAAATTACTGTTTTATTATAAGAGAGTCCAGGAAGGGCCTGGGATTACCTTTGCATCTTCACAAGTGATGAGCCAGGCTTTCTCCTTCAGGGTTCAGTGTGCTAGCCCTGTCACCTACTGGGCTGTGTTCTGTGTGGGACATGTGGGACACTCCTCACATTTGTCACTAGCAGGCAAAGAATGCGAGGGAACCAGCCAGGCAGCCAGGAACTCTCCTTCTCTGTGTGTGAGAGCCCGTGAGAAGTGTAGCAGGTCCTACAGACAGGCTGCGAGTTCCAGACTCTGACTCTCTAATTGGGTAAGTGCTACTGCTGTGGCCTCACAGTCGCCATCCACAGGATGCGGACAGGTACAGGTGACAGAGAAATGCAAGCAGCAACATGGCAGGTCCGCTGTAGGTGACAGAAGTTATACAGAGGGATCCCTGAGAAGCACGTGAGAGTTTCTACTAAATGTAGTCTATTAGAACACTAATCACAAACACAAACACCACGACTAAGAGTGTGATGGCGTCTAACAGGCTTTAAGATAGACATGGACATACTACAAGCCAAGGAAATGGGCCCTAAAGAGGCAGTCAAGAAATACAGGAAGATGGGTTGACAGGACCTGAATTAAGAGGTTTTAAATAAAAAAAAAGTGGTATGCCTTTAAGAACAGAAGAAATGGCCAGGTGGTGGTGGCACACACCTTATCTCAGCTTCTTGGAGGCAGAGGCAGACACGTCTCTGTGAGTTCAAGGCCAGCCTGGTCTACAAGAGTTAGTTCCAGGACAGGCTCCAAAGCTACAGAGAAACACTATCTCAAAAATAAATAAATCAATAAATAAATTTAAAATAAAATAAGATAAAAAGACAGAAGAACCTCAACAGAAACACTGCCTGACCTCTGAGCTTCTCTGAGTGCCTCTGGACAGAAGGAGTCTTCCTGCGAAGTACAGATGGCCAAGAAGTTAACCTCCCAGAGGTGTTCTGTTTGTTTAAATAAGACGATGTTTACTTACTCTTGCCTCTCCGCTAGGAAAACGAATCAGCTGCTATCAGAACAGCTAATCCTGAATTTATAAAGGAATGCTATTCCCTGAAGTTTATCAGAGAATATCTGAAAAGCCTGCCCCACAGAAACACTGCTGCATAGGCTGGAGACCCCACAGGCTGGTCACTGCAGCCCATCACCACACCAGCAAGCCGTCCTGATGCTGTTACAGATTGTGGGTTTCTCAGCTGTGGCCCAGGAACGTTACCACCAGCTCTGCTACAAGAGAGTGGTAGGCAAATGCCTCCAACTTAGCATGGCCAAGAGGAGTGGAGGAATCGATGGGGCATGCCACAGCGCTCTGAACATGGGAGTAGATTGCTTTAGTGGGAGCTGGTAAGAAAACAGGGGTGGCCATTGTGCCAGGGTGGAAGACTTCTTTGAGAAGACCCCTAATAGAGAGCAAGAAAAGAGCAGGAAGCTGAGGCTGGAGAGGGGATAAAGGGGAAGTCAGCCAGGCTGGAGCAGAGTAAGGAGAAGGTAAAGGCAGCCCTGGCAAAAAGCATCCCAGCGTTAATAGTGACCCCTTCTTGCTCCATGTTACACGTGAAGTATGACCATTCCCCAGCTTTGGGACAAATGAAGAGGCTTTGCCTTCAGAGGCTTTGTGGCCTGGGGCACTCTCTCTGCAGGACCCACAGGGCCTGAGGATGCCAGCACTCACTGGAAAGAAAGTGAAAGGGTTCCATACAGAAAGAGTCACTAGTGGCTCCTACCTTTAGCACCAGCAAGGAGAGCTCTCTGGGAACTGGAATTGAGAAATTTCCACCCTTGTGAACAGAGTTTTATTGTTAAGGGGTGTGGGAGGCGGGCAGAGGTAACTTGCTTTTGGTTTACTTACCTTGCTTGAATTTTCAAGTTGGTACAATGGACAAAATCACTTGGGACAAAAGCAAATTAAAGAGTGAGATTTTGGCAAACCAAAACCACGGGAGCCAAGGCAGTGGCTGGAACTTCACCTACCTTCCTAGATTGATATTTAATACGTGGACAACAACCTCAATAAAGGACCTCTGTGATCTCTCCAAAAATAAAACCACTGGTGGACAGAAAATGACTCTCAACTTTTACAGCAGGTTTTTTTTTTCTATCTCATTGGTTGATCTTCTTTTAAAATGTTTGTAACTACCAAGCATATTATAGTAGCAAGTATCATATGACTGGTGGCCATTGTGATTAGGAAATTTAAGAACTGCCTGTTTTCATGAGCCAAGATGCAACGGCACATTTTGCTCCTAAAATTACTTTCTGATACACATGATGAATGTAAATAAGTTGCTCCGGGGATGTCAACATCTACGTGTTTCCCCCACTTGCTGCTTATTACCATGAATTAAAATGCCAGCTGGTATTTGACAACAGATTATTTTCAAAACTTTTTTAAAATAATAAATTCAACTTTCCTATGAAGTCCTATTGCTTCCTCTTTTAAAAAAGATTTAATTTTCATTTTTACTATGTGTATGTACAAGTGAGTACAGTTGTCCACAGAGGTGAGCATCGATGCACCCGAGACTGGAGTTACAGGCCATTGTCAACTGTCCCGTGTGGGTGCTGGGAACTGAACCTGGGTCCTCTGTAAGAGCAGTACATGCCCGTAAACACTGAGAGACCTCTCCAGCTGCTTGCTATGCACTTTCTCAAAAAGGCTGAAAGTTTCACAGTTACAAAGAATACAATTCTACTTCTTACAAATTCTAAGTGTTCTTAAGATTTCAAATTAGCATTTTTTAAAAATAACACCCCAGTGAAGAGGTGAATGAATTCTGTAGTTACTTAAACACATGAATTTTATTCTACTTGAACTTCAAGAAAGATGAACACCGTGGATAAATAAACATATTATTTACGGTTTTAGAATATACAAATTCATATTCTCAATGTCAAATGTTATGTCTATCTTCTGTTAGGATGTAATTGAAAAAAAAGTCCTTGTAGCTGAAGCAACACAAAGATAACACTGGATATTTAGGGAACAAATTAGTATTTCTGAAGGAAAACAAGCAAGGCTAGAACTTCAGAACTGAGCCATCTGGACTAGTATTAGCGGAGAGGAGAACACTTAGAATCTTTTTCCTCCACTCTCAGAGGACAGGTACAGGCTGCTAATGTGGATGCTGAATGCTTCCCGAAAGCCCACGCGGGAAAGCCTGTAGTCCCAGGCTGGAAGAAAGCTGGGAGAAGCCACAAGAGGTGGGACCCTGCGGAAGGGTTAGATCCCTGGGGACATGTTCTTCTTATTTTTTCCTTGTTTGTTTCCCTGGCTCCAGATGTGAGACTGTGGTACCTTCTACTTCTGCCATACCACAGGGGCCAACAACAGATCCAACAAGACGAGAATAAAATCTCCAAAACTGTGGTCCAAAAGAAGCATCTTCTTTTCCCTCGACAGGTTAGTTTGTCTCACGCACGTCATTAACAGGATGGAATGCTAACAAGTTCAATAATTTGCTGAAGTGTGCCTACAGTTTACATGAGGGGAGTTTAAATGTTCTTGTTTATACAGAGGGATTTGCAAAGTATAAACTCCCGTGAAACGAAAGGACGGGCCATTATTATTTTTGGAGTTAAGTTATTTGGAATTCCTGTGGCCTCACCTCTACCTATTATGTTTCCAGTGACCTTGTCCAGACTATCTAAAATACGAACGAGCAGAACAACATCCTCTTCCAGAAAGCAGACACGGCCAAGCAAAAGTATTGCTCTATCCAAGACAGCAATTTGTCTATTTGTAACTTGAACAACGCGCCTCCATGCCAACTGTGGATTGGGTTCTCCAAGAAAATTCAAAACTCATATAGACAAAGGGGAGAAAGTACAAGTGAGGACTCCTAACACCTCAGTGCCTGGAGGCC